GGCACATCTATTGCGTTGTTTGAGCAGAATGTTCAATGCATTGTCGTCCCTACACAATCTACCGTCCATAGATTCTATGCAAGACTCATTTACGACCCGACTGAAATGGTCAATAAAGAGGTCTGTTCCCATTCCAAACACATTTATGCTAAAAGGATGCTTTTGAAAGTGCTTCTCGCTCTAGCCGATTTATGCCTTTGATTCAGGTGCCATCTATTTTCACTCAAATAATTGAGAAAGAGTTTCTTGTTGACAATCACACTTCATATCAACTAACCACAAATGGACACGCATTTCGCTCATCGGTTATTCACCGGCCTGATCTCTCCCGAGTGAGTTTCTCACACGGCATTCGAAATAAGGCTTTTTCACGTCAACATTGTGTTTAGATAGCTTATTGTATGACAGAAGGACAAATGGTTGTAGTGTCCATGTACGCAAATTCGTGTAAGTTCTTTCATACCTCACCAACTTTGACTGTCATCAAATAAACAGAGAAAAGCAAGACGCTATGGCTAGTAGCAAACGGTTTTGATGCCATAGAGTATCCCACTCATTTAAAATATGTAGGTTAAGGTGCATTGCAAGCGCTTACTCTTCCCTATCCGTTCAGATGATAAGGTGGAAGAAGTGACATTTCGTGAGTATGGCCTCATGAAACGTCTTCTGGGAGAAGCATCGTCGGGTGGTGTGTCTGATGTGTCAGGGTTAGCAAAAGAAGGAAGTGACTACAATTCCTCTGAGGATATGTTCTACGCTGTATATCGTGATGGTACGCTACGAGCTTGGAATGCAGAGGTAGCTTTCATGTGAGAGCAGCTAATAATGGTACAGGAGTTAAGCTTTTCCTTTAGACTCAACGAGTTCATTCTACTGATGTATGCAAATTGGATTCTATCACAGGCATTGATCAGGATTGCCGTAAGTATTCAGATTTTTTTTTTCTCAAAGAAACGGGCTCGTTTGACAGGTGGTAGAAATGTTGTGTTGGTTATGCATTCCTTTTAAGTGAAATCTCTCAATGTGAAAGCGTATCAGATAGACTCATCCGTTATTTTGGTTGTCCCTGTTCTCAACAAGCAAGAACACCAAGGTGAAGTTGCCTTAAAAGAGTTATAGCTTATGTTGTTAAAACCTGAAATTCATCACACATTTCAGTTCCACTTCCTGTCTGAGCAACACAGAAAATTTACGCATCTTCTTACGGTGGTCGCTGACAATGTTGGTTTTTCTTTTTCAAATAATTGCCGGTGCTATGCACTGATCCATTGTAGCTCCCGATTTTCTTTTATTGTGTCAGGGTGAAGCACTATTGGATTTTGGAGTGGTGCATAAAAACAGTGGCTCCCGTTCTCTCTGGGCATTGTGGAATTCGATGTCTACAACTAATGAATACTTTGTTGAACACATTGATATAGAAATGTGAGTGCACCTTACAGCAGATTTTTAAGAAAATCATCTCGAAAGAGTAGCAGTTGTAGATTTTTTGCCCCTTTCGAGGTTGTTAGATGAAAATAAATTAGAACAGCCTCCGAGGGCGACAATTTTGTCAAAACATAAGGTCGTATTCGATGTTCCACCTTCCAACCTCGGAAGGTACAAAAACCAACCATATTAGAACTAATCGTGCCGTGGTTACAAGACGAGAGGGGCTAGAATTTATTACAAAAGAATTATTCCTGAAGTTTGCTCCCATATCGAAAATTGTTTCTCGATTTCTTTTTTTAAGCGCATTTATGTTCTAGTTTCCCTGCGCGTACTGGAAAATGGCGGAAGGTCAACACATTTTCGCTGCCAGACCCTGTTTCTGACGGCATGTCTGTATCACAGCTGAAAGAGTCTATATTTAATGTGGACTCTCATCCTTTTGAGATCGTTTCCAGATCTGTGCAGGTCAGTTCTAAACTTCCAAATTCCATAGCTGTTTTTGATTTTTTTTTTTGACAGATCGCATGTCAAGGATCTCGATGTGAGTATGCGCATGGGGATTGGCTCGCTCTGACAGCACATGTTGATTCTTACCTTCGTTCGCCTGAGGTGAGAAGTCTTTCCCTTTTTAAGAAGCAAATATGATCCAGCAGTTCTTTAGTTGATTCAAACTATGCTCATCGTGGTAATCGAACCCTAAAGTCGTCTTCGAGTGATTCCCAAAGCGATGCTCGAATTCAGGTGAGTGTTAACTGATAACTCCCAGATGTTCGTTCCATTACTATTACTTTATTACGAAACCAGCTTCAACAGTTTAGAAATTTTGTTGGACGTGTGCACGGAACACTGTGACTAAGTAGTGATCGAAACCAAACAGTTTCATTTGCGGCAGTTGCTTCCGACTACCCCATTAGGGTGTATTTTACTTGACCGTCCATGTTGGCTGATCGTCATCATTTGAGTGAAATGAGTAACGGCTGTGTGTCAGAGTCCGCGATTTTTTTCGCGATTTTGCGCGATTTTCGCGATTTGTCGCGATTTGCGCGATTTCGCGATTTTCGCGATTTTCGCGATTTTCGCGATTGTCGCGATTTGCGCGATTTTCGCGATTTCGCGATTTTCGCGATTTGCGCGACGGGTCACGGAAATTACAAGTGCCCCATCCATACTGCAAGGTGTTCTCCAATCCCGCCGTCACTTCTGCTTGATGGTATGGTTTAATGGAGACTGCTCATGATTCCACTTGTTTCATATCCAGTGTTTCAATTGTTCAAATGGGGCACTTGCAATTTTTGTGATTGGTTTGGTTTGATTCCTGAAAAAAAAAAAAAATAGGAACGATTCAAGAGCATTTCAATGAACTAATAGACATTGAACATGAAACAAGTAGAACCACAAACATTCGTCTTCCAATCTTTACTGCCAAGCAGAATTCGCAGCAGGATTAAACAACACCTCGCAGTATTCATCGGGCACTTCCAACTCCTGTGATCCATCGCAGGTTTCGCGAAAATCGCGAAAATCGCGCAAATCGCGAAAATCGCGAAAATCGCGAAAATCGCGCAAATCGCGAAAATCGCGAAAATCGCGACAATCGCGAAAATCGCGAAAATCGCGAAAATCGCGCAAATCGCGACAATCGCGCAAATCGCGACAATCGCGAAAATCGCGACAATCGCGAAAATCGCGAAAATCGCGAAAATCGAATCGCGGACTCTGACACCAGCCTAGCGCCCTGACAGAGTTATGTTATGTATTGCAATGGAAGCTGCGGCAAATTGAAAAGTGGTGATCGTGTTACGGGTAACATACTTGCCCAGAAGGGAAGAAGCAGTGTTGCTCCCTCAACGCAACATCCTTAGATAGATGGAGCTATTCTGATTGTTCGATATTTCTCTATGTCTTAGTTCCGTCGAGACCAAATCCTCATACAAACCGTCCTTGTAAGTTCCGGAAACCATTGCAATATTTTGCCAGGTTTTTCACCTCTTTGGCACGTACCTGCGATCAGCTGGAAGTAGCTGCTCGTGGACCTCTTGGACTGTTTCTCCTTGACATGGTTGGAGCGGTTTTGACTGGCATTATTCAGCAGGTACTCTCATTTCTTTTTGTTTTGCCTTTAATCACTTGCTTTTTTGCATTATCGTCTTTCATTGTCTTTCATTACTGGTCTTATTTATATCATTGACAAGAAAAATTGCCCCAATTTTTAAAGGATCGCTTTTCTGTAATACTGAATGGCGAATCGAAGTTGATCGACGAAATGGAGCCAGATCCTTCTGGGGACATGAAAAAGATCCTGTCTGTAGCTATAGATAGAGCTGCAGTTAAAGTAAGTTTCCGTCTTATCGTTAATTTCAATTGTTGTTAATCTCGTTTGGACTACATTTTTCTGCCATTGATATTTTAACTTGAAACGGTGAATTGCACACGTGACAGGCCTTATAGGAATAGGAGTTCCATATTCACAGGATGTTGCTTTGATTCGCGGCTCCACAGTTTATCTAAAAGGACAAAGCATCGGCTTGATCAGTGTTGACTCATTGGTCCCATTTACTAATTTTTTTTTCTAGCTGTTTTTCGCCTTTGAGGAAGAAGACGGCATGATAGCGGACGAAACTGAAGTCAGCGATGGATCTGCTCACAGTTTCATGCAAATGCGGGCAGAATTAGTGAGTTTTTACTCTGCGCAGTCGGGTTTTGCGGAAGACGCGGGAGTAATACCACAACTCGGCGAGATCGAAACTGATGATTTTTACAACTATGCTCTCTGCTCTATCGTGAATTCATGGCCCCGGTTTTTCCTCTCTAGATTAGCAGTTTAACTTAGTGACAATAGTGGCTCAAGTGTAACGGATGAAGCCACAGCAGTGCTTTTTTTGGAAACTTGTGTACTGAAGAGACACATCCAGTCAGAGCTGATGCACACGTTTGAAGATTGTTCTCAAAATATTCTCAATAAATCTCACAAACGCAAGAACCGTAGTTTAGCTAGGCCTACTCCTGATAAATCTTTGAGGTGCAGCGAAACAATTTGGAATAGATTTTCAAGACAAGAGCAGTAGTTTTCTATTACTTTGTTCTGTTCCAGAGAACTTAGAAAACTAAGGGAATGAAAAAGTTATAGCGAAGTGCTACATTTCGAGAATCCTTGATAGTTTTTAAATGGGTGGACACCTAATAACAAATACCGTTTGCGCCATTTTTCGGCCGCTGTTCTCTCAGTTTCTTACTATTTTCCACCCATAATCACGTTTGCTTTTTCAGATAGTGAAGAAGTGGAGCACAATTATGGATACCTTCTTGAACGATATCGTTTGCTCTGATCTCCCTACGAGTGAGTGATTCTCAGAATGGTGACTCTATTTTCTTTGATGTCAGTGCAATGCTGACTTAACTTGTATAATCCAGGTTCTACTTCGCAATCAACGAATATGTTCGATGGATCTTTTGTATGCGGGTTAATCTCTTCAACTTTACGTCATGTTGTTCAGCAGCGCCTAAAAATTGCGAAAAGTTTATTGGCTGTGGTACAGCTTTACGAAGAAGACAGTGTTCGTAATTTTTATGTTAGGAAATTGCTGACAATCATTTACGATGAAATTCGTATTCCAGGCTCGTTTTGAATATCATATGTTTGACTTTCCTCGCCTTGAGGACGAGCTTAGTGAATTTATCGGTCTTTACACTCTCTTTAACGCTCAGCTGTCGCTAAAGCTTACTCGGTGGGCCCACAACTCTGTAGCTTTTCATTTAGCTCAAGTTTGTTGTCGTCTATTCATCCACGTTCAGGGACAGTGCCCAGGTATCGCTTTGTAGTTGGTTCATGGCTGGAGAAGGCGTTGAATCAGTTCGCGATGCGGTTCCAATTGATGACCTTGATGAGGACAGCAATCTGCCACAGTTTAATGAATTCCTTAATACCGTTGTGAAGGTAAGTGATCTAGAGCTCAATGTTTTATTACAACTTTTTTGATGAATTTTAGGCATCGTTGCAAATCCTGTCACCAAAATCACCTCAAGCGCTGCTAGCGAGAAATTTAGCTACTCATGACAAGTACTTAGCGCTTATGGTTAGTTGCAATTGGATTCTAACTAGTTTTTCCTATCCTTTCGTGGCAATTTGATGCCTGCATTTTGTTACCTTTTTTCGCTCTAAGCTCCCTTGTTCATAATAGTCAACCACCGTGAAACAATTTAGTATAAAAGATTGAGAAGAGAGACGATAGAACTCTTTGCTTCTCATACCTACCCACGTTTATAGCGCCTGTAAAGCGTGATCTTACCGATTGCATTGCACACCTTCTCTTTTTCCTTAAGTGATTTACGAGTTTTTCCTTTCCTACTCATTGTTACAGCAATTATGCAACACATACGAAAAGTGCAAGCTTGAAGAACTGCGTCCAGTGGTCACATTCTATAAAGCCATAGCCTATTCAGGAATAGGTAAACCATTAAAGGTGAGTATACGATCAGGGATTCGAGTCTATTTCTTTCTTTTTCTTTTCTTTTATTTTTCCCCTATTGATTGGTGTCATTTTGTGGTCGAAATGTTTGTCTAAATGTTAGCATTACACTTAAGTAGACGGTAGAAATTATAGGATTACACCGGTTTTCATTTGCTGATGCTTTTTATTCAAGGCGATGGCTGCTTTTAATGCTGCTGCCAGAGGTGTCACTGACGGCAGCGAAACCCTTCTCAAAGCCTTGTCCTCATTCGAAAGGAAATCAGAGGAAATGAATCTAGGCGATTACTATGTCATTGTAGGTCGTGATTTTCTCAATCCTATTTAATATGCAACCGCTCTAAATATTTTTCTAGGCCTTGCGATATCTCAATAATCATCGGCATAGCGAAGAAGTTATTGAGATGGCAAACGAAATGTCCTTTCGTCCTTTACACCGGCCACACTCACTGGTATGTTCTATTTTGCATAGTTACGCTCCATAGAAAATGAATACAGGTTTATGTATAGATGGTTTGAAAAAAAGGTAAATTGTGGTTCGTTTACTCAGACGAACCACATATATTTCGTCAACCACGGACTCCATTAGTATACATCATGATGGTATGAAAAACATAAGGTATAAATTGAGAAATGTGTAGGAGATAAAAGGATACAGTGACAGAAGGAGTTTTACGGGAAAGTTAAATCATCTAGGATTAGGAATACCTAATATACATGTATTTAACTCAGGGAGGCACTTAACTGCACAAAAACCCATTTTTCTTGTGTTCTCTGTGTCTTTTGTATTCCATGTGAGAAATCGGTTTTGATTTTTGAACAAGACGAAGGTGATATTTTTTCTTCCAATTTGGATATCACTCATCTGTTCAGTCGACCATTTATGCAACTCTCTTCAACCATCTAATCAACCAAGGAAATTGGTGTGACGCCCTCAGGAGCATCATCCAAAACACGGTACCAGCGGTTACTTCTTTCACTGTTGCTTTCTCTAATTTCTTTGTACTTCAAGCAATTTCCTCTTTCATGGTGAACGTTGATTTTGCCTTCTTAATCCAGGATCCGGAAGTCAAACGAATGGCTCTCAGTGAGCTCATCAAACGTATGTTGCACGCTAACGATTGGCAATCGATAGTAGATTTGAATTATGGAAAGCTTGAAGAAGAGGTAGGATCTGGAAGCACCAGCACAGTTTGGAATTAGCCCATTATGATTCGTTTTCCTAAAAATAACTTTTACCTCAATATTATCTTAAAAGCGTGATTTGATTTAGGTAGAGCGCAGTCTGCTCACTTCTGCGCGCGCTCAAGAAGCAACAGCTCCTAACCACCTATTCAAGCTTGTGTTCTCTTTCTACATGAAGCGAAACGATTTCGAAGGCGGTGAGTAATTCTCATAGAATTTGCTGTCAACTTAGAAAAAAATGGGTCAGAGTAACTATGGAGGTGTTGCCTGACTTCTAATAAATATTTCATTCGAATACCTTGTTTCAGCAGCACGAGCTCAATATGAATACGCCTTTGTTTTGCGTACTCAAGCCGAGCAAACGCCGGAATTGTTACGGAAGCGACGGGATGCGCTAGCTGTGGCATCTACCCTTTTGGATCTCTTGCCTGAAAATGATCGCTTCATATCATTTCCTGCTGAGGTAATTGCTTTTGGTGAAAAACTCTATTCCACTGTTCAAAGCAACAACTGAGGATGATTTCTCATGGATAAATCTATCTTGTGAGCAGGACAATAGTCCTGTCTACGAGCATTACAGATGTGCCTTTGTCGTGGCTGAAAAAAATGCGCAACAAATGCATTAGGGTTTACATGTTGAGCAAATCCGAGCAATTGCAAAAGTTGTCGCGCTGATTCCTAATACATAACGTGGTGCGGCGCAAAATAATCTATGTAATCATCGACATGGATTACGACGCAGTCCAATAATCCAAGTGTTCAAAAACCAACTGCTGGAGGTGCTTTGACAGCCGTATCAAATGCTTACCCAGAGCCAACCACTACAAACTCTTCCGGACAAGAGCCAACAACTTCGAAGCCTCTTTCGGTCTGTCTTCCTCATCCAAGATGGAATCCTTTTAAAGGTTTCTTCAAGGGCTTTGTCGGTGTTTTTTTTTTTATTCGTCTTCAGTCAATTCCGCCTTCATCATCGAGCGATGTCCTGGGAGTTTTAGGGATGTCTTACTTGGACTCAGTCGATGTTTTAGGATTGACGGAGTGAATAACTTCTTGTATTCATGACTGAGATTTTTATGCTGTTTCATTACAGTTCCAATTGCCGAAGGAATCTTGTGGAAATGGCGAGTTAGAAGCGGCACAAGAAATCACGCAAGAGATGATTGATGTAAACTTGCATGATGTTATCGCTGATGAGCTTAATATACCTACTCCAGTACGACCTTCTACACAACATCGGATGTTCATCCTCACAGCAGAAGCGTATGCAATTTTTCCTCCTTGGAAATGAATTTGTGCATAAAATTGCAGGGCTGCTGAGATTATTTACAGTCTATGTGAGGAATGCGTGGTGGCGAGTGCGCGTGTGGCTTTATTGGTAACTGGGGAAGTGCCTCCTACTGATCCTAAAGAAATAGTTGATAAGCTCATCGCCATCAAAAACTACGACGTTGCGTTTGATGTGTGCAGGTATGGAATACTAATTTTTACCGTATTTTTCCAGCTGGAAA